CGTTTTCATTTTAAATCCATCACAAAGCTTCTATAATGCATTTAGAACCTATCCAAAGCCTTTTTTTATCACTGTAACAACATCTTCACCATCCTCCATTTTCAAAAACTCAACTCTGCAACTTGACTTCTCCAGAAGAATCCATGCACTCTCAATCCAATGTAAGAATTGCAATAGCTTTCTAGGAGTTCAGTGAAGCTATCCAGATCATCACAACATCTCCAGGAGTGCTCCAACTTCAAACACGATTATCACTTTTGAGGTAAGTTTTCTAAACTTTGAACTTTCTGTACAAGAAAAATTAATAATTTCTTTCTGAATAAAAAATGTAGACATCATTTCCCTGAAGCTAGCCATGTGCTTACATTTCATTTATCTTGCCTGAGGGATGAGAATTTTGGATTTGAAGTTTCAGAAAAATTAGGGTTCAGTTTGGTACCAACAAAAATTCATGTTCATCTTTGAGTGTTACCTTAAGTTATTTACATGGCTGAATTCGTGTTGAGATTTAGAACAAGTTTGGTATTTTCAGTTTTTGAAATGATTGAGAAATGAAGGAGTTAGCATTTTCAAATTTTGTTGTTGTTGTTGCTGGCCGCGTGAAGAAGATGAAGTTGCATCTTCAAACATTCAGAAACAAGTTTATAATATATTTAATAGTTTGTGTATAAAATACCGAATGTATCACCGCCCCAGTGCTTAAAGAGCACGCCTATTTACCTTAGGGACCTGAGTTCGAGCCCCAATGGTACCCTTTTATTTGTTTCACATTTATTTCTTGCAGATTCCATGAAAACAAGACAAGCGCGCATGCTATACACCCTCACTCTCTCACCAGATGATCATCACAAAGTCAGATCAAGTGCTCCAAAAGGCAAGCGCATGATATACTCCTTGGGGATAGCCACACTGAATCAATACAGGGGGCTGGATTTGTAACACCCCAATTCTACCCCAGGAAATTATGCAAAATAAATCAGAGTTATAAAATTTCAATCATACAAATGAATCGGGACGTCACAAATTCTTCTAACAAATTCATTGCATTCATCGTGGATATATAACACTTTTTCAAACATCGGATGAACCATCAACATAACATCTTTAATCAAATAAATCAACATCAACATAGCAGAATTCTTAATAACATCTCTAACAACAAAACATCAATTGCGAAACATCACATATTTAATAATAATCAATTTAAAGTTCAACAACTGAAATTCAACAATCAAAAACAGTAAGCGTTCATCCCCCCGAGTGTTACATATCAGAGAAATGACACCAACTCGAACTATTGAAGGAATACAGCCTTCACTCTCGATTACCTGCACATTACCAACATAAGGGCAACATTCAAACAGAAGGGGTGAGATATCTAACAATATAATAAAGCACATGATAATCAATATATTAAATTAGATCAACAACGTCACCACTTCTCATCTCATAAATCAACAACAATCTCAACAATAATATACATTCATCAACATCAAAATACACTTCTTTATGAAATCATATAATGCGACTCAATACTATGCAAATGCATGTGGTACCATTGGAGCAGAACTCCCATCTCAAAATTTTGCTAATTAATAGAGGCATCAACAAGGCATAGCCTTCATCTCAAAATTTGCCAATCTAGGCCATCTCAACGAGCATAAGCTCCATCTCAAAAATGCAATGCATGCAACACAACCATGAATGTAATGATAAGACCCAAGTTAACAACATCTCAAACCATCTCAAATTATCATCTCAAAACATCTCAAATTATCATCTCAAAATATCTCAAAAATTAACATCTCAAAATAACACCTCAAATAATCAAAATAATTCATCAAACGTCATTTATTTATAAATCATCAAACATCATTTATTTATTAATAACTTCTCATTTATAACTCAGCAGTATTTTAATTTCCACAGTAAATCAACACTGTCATTCTGTAATTCTAACGTCAAAACTGTCACTTTCCTACTGTTATAGCTCAAACAGCAGCTTCTAAGCATCTAACATTCACCGTTCTGCACAAAACAACACAAAGGCCATCCAACTTCTGACCACGCAACCCCTAACCAACGCTATTTCTAAATACACAGTTTCTAATGACACAACCTCAGGGAGACACAATCTTCTGACTACTATAACTTCTGACTAATGCAACCTCTAACTAATCCCCATCTTTTGACCAGATAAAACTTCTGATCATCTCAGCTTCTGACTACTCAACCTCTGACCAGATACAACTTCTGGTCATCTCATCTTCTGATTAATACAATCTCTGACTAGCCACATCTTCTGACTAATACAACTTCTGATCATCACATCTTCTGACTAATGCCATCTTCAGACTAATACAAATTCTGACTAGTGCAACTTCTAACATCAGAACTGCTACTTTCCAATGATTCAGCGCAACTTCTAACAACTTACGCCTGACTTCAGAATTGTTATTTTCTATTCATCCTATTTTTCTAATTCCTTTCCTGATATCAATCTAACTAAGAACAATATGACAAATTCTATTCTCCAAATTAATTCATTAGTTCTAATACAACAACGCCTGATATCATTCTAGCATAATTCTGCATTTTCATTAATGTTATATTCAACGTCTTTCATCACTGCATCTCACTATGGTTCCATAACTAAAGCCCTAAAACTTATTATAATCATGTCAATTCATTACCCATAATTACCCTATAATCTTACAACATTTTAACAGCATCAAGGCTTCAATATTCATCAAAATTCATCAATCCTCATCGTACATCAATCATATATTCTCAATTCAAGAACAAGACAACAATCACCTCTAACCCCACATATCAATCATCATAAACCCAAATTATAGAGTCAGAACCTCACGCTTACCTTGGATTGAAGGTCGCTCTACTATTTCCGGTTGGATTCACGTTCTTGCCGTTTTCCACTTTCTCTAGCAGCTTGCACGTTCTCCTCCAAATCCTTATTGCTTTTTTCTTTCTATTCTATTCCAACAACAATAAAATAACCCTATTATTCTATTATTCCTTATTGGGCTTAAAACCAACACACCCCTTATTACTTCTATTCTCCCAAAATAAGCCCACATTAAATAATATTACACTTCTAATATTATTTCACCACATAATATTATATCTCTAATATTATTTCTCCACTTAATAAAATAAATCCAATTAATTATAACACATCTTCATAAATATTTCAAAAATAATTTAATTAAATAATTAATTAAATTACGGGCATTACAGGATTCTTTGTTTTGGGCTCAACACTTTTCCTTTTTACATACCCCTTTTTACTTACTAACACAGGCCCATTACATTTTTTCATTATTTTTATTTTCAACTTCAAACAAAAAAAACTGTTTTTGGACCTAACTTTTTTTTTCATTTTCACCTCCCTAATTTCTTTTACACCACTGACCCACTTTATTTTCTTTTTTATTTATGTTAATTAGGTTTAGTTTTTAATCAACTAATTTAATTTTCATAAATACAACTTAATTTAATTTAATCATTTTTACTTTATTTTGTTAACTAATTTGTGAAATAATTAGAATTAGGTTTTTTATTATTATATCACACAACTCTTCTAAATAAAACTCCAAAATAATTTTCCAAATATTTATATTTCTTTAGACTTTAATTTAATTTTGATAATAAAAGACTATTTTAATTTTCTTATAGAATTAGGTATAATTTTTACCTCACATTGCAAATATTTTCTAAACAAAGAAACAACAAATTATTTTCTCAAATAATTAGAATTTTTTAGGGTTTCTTAAAACATCTTTCTATCTTCGCGCGTTTGTTTATTTTTTCGAATCATTATCACGTAATTGATTATGGACTGTAATTGTTTAATTAGGGTTTATTGCTTTCCTTTCCCATTCACAAATTTGTACCCCTCATTCCCAAAGTGTTGTAATAGCGTAGGACATTTAAATTCTGCAATTTATCGCTTTCCTTATTACTGTTAGTAATTAAGGTTTATATGGCAAGATTAAAATCAATCATAGTAAAACCCTAATCCAAGACAAGTAAAATGAAATCAATTACACTTTGCACACTTATACCTCTAGGGTAACCTCATTTGTTGCCTCAGATAAAAAAACAGTCATGTCCCTCGAGCGTGGGACGCTTTAGCAAAAGACCCTTGATGAAAAGATTGGAGTCCCTCGGTGAACCTTCGATGTTGCCTTCGATAAACGATCTTAGTCCCTTACGACAATTTCTAAAGCATCTTACAAGTTGCCTTCTATGATTGTACGATGACCCACGTCTGTCCCTCACATCCAATGATAGGGCTTCCTACTAACTGATGGTAGGATAACACTATCTAAAGGAGGAGGAAAAGAACAAAGACTTTTTGAGTAGGTAGATCGCTCGTAATCGCTTGCTCACAAACTAAAACAATTTCCACACTTCACACTTTCAAAACAACTATTTTCAAAAACACTTTTCAAAAATAAACATTTTGTATACATTCTCAACGATACGAGAATCATTACAAAATTGCCTTACATTAGCATTTTCAAAACATCTTTCCAAAACAACACTTTCTTTCACAAGTATTTTCAAACCAAACATTTTGTATACATTCTCAACGATATGAGAATCATTACAAAATTTCCATACTTAGGCATTTTCAAAATATTTGCAAACATACACAAGGAATTTTCAAAGTGAGCTAGCAATTAAGAGCCCGTAGATAACTATGGATGAAAAGGGTGCTAACACCTTCCCTTTTCATAACCTATCCCCCGAACTCAAGAAAAATTCTCAAAAGGTCTTTCCTGTTCTTTTCACCCTTTCCTTTATTGGATAAAAGAAAAGTCGGTGACGACTCTTGCTATCTGCAACATTTGCAATAAAACGTAAAATACCAAGTCAGTTCTCCTACCGTATTACAATAATAAATTAGAAAAATCAAAACTTAAAATCAAAATCACAAAACAAAGATGCAAAAAACACATACTAAAATGACTTGCTCAGATCTTGAGCGTGTTGGGTTGCCTCATTAGAAGCCTAACTTTACTGGTAACCTTATGTTTCAAAAACTTGATAGTACTAGCCCCCATCTCCTTCCACTGATTTCCATCCTTATCAAACCAGTAAAGCTTTGATTTGTTGCGATCAATGAAACACAATGAGAGATGTGCAATAAAACCCTAAAAATATACCCTAAAAAACTGAAATATGAAAAGGAAACGACTTACATATCTAGAATGGAATCTTCGTTTTCTTCACTAGTGGAGATGACAACCTCCTCAAGCTAGATGATGGGAGCGACTTGTGCTCCAGTATCTTCTTCATCGCCAATGGCTAGTGCCTCCTCCTCTTCAAGGTGTTCAAGGAGATATAGATGAACAAAAGAGATTATAGCACCGTATAGATCTGTATCAAGGAGATATTGAGCCAATTGATTTTTCTTGTAATAATATCCAATTGATTTTTCCTGTAAAAATGTAAAACATAAAAGGTTAAAAAACCCTAAAATCGAAAAAAGACGGAGAAGAGAGGACTGAGAGAAAGAGAGAAAGAGAGAGAGAGAGAGAGAGAGAGGAGAGAGAGAGAGAGAGAGAGAGAGAGAGAGAGAGAGAGAGAGAGAGAGAGAGAGAGAGAGAGAGAGAGAGAGAGAGAGAGAGAGAGAGAGAGAGAGAGAGAGAGAGTTATGTTGTTGTTAGTGAAAAAATATTAAAATATTTATGCCCAATGATAGTGTAACACATGTTGCTTTAAGTGAGTATAACTTTAACTATTTGAAGATGAATTTGAGAATTACAGATTTGGACAAATTGCAGTGTAAAAATAATTGAGGTAAAGGGCAAAATAGATAGTTTGTGCAATTTTTGAGTAAAGGTTTGATAGTAGATATGCTCACAATTTAAAAAGAAAATCCTCAGTAACCGAACCAATACATGGGTCGTACTTTATGGTACCTAAGTAATCTTACTTCTTTCCATTTGCTTAAGTTATATAAAAAAAACAAATCTATCAGTTATAAAATATTATATCATTTTAAATTTTTAATAAAATTATATAAAAAAATTCAAAAATTTTATTATTAAACTATGAAATATTTTAATAAATATTTATCTGTATTCACGTCCATATCTATTTTTGTAGATTTTTATCCCACATAATACAAATATTTTTTATAAATATGCAATAGATATGTGGACAATTGTCATCTAATTTAAAAATAAAGAATGCACTTTTATGACAAGTACATGATTAGTAGGAGATTCTTGAAAAGGTCATTTAATCAATTGAATAAGCTAAGGGACACATACAATTCATCGAATTTCTTGAGAGACACTAGCAAATAATTATTCTATTTTTCCACAAGTATTTCTTCCAATACTTTAAGTGCTAAGAAAAATTTAAATGACTCAAATAGAAATTGTATTTTCTACATTATAGTGTCAAATAATATTCTGATTGTTGCATAAACATGAGAAAAAATACGGATGAAATTCTCAATTTTGTTTTTGTTATGATCCCCTTTTATCTATTTCTTTTTGTAATGGTTTCTGGTAAGCTTTTTCATCTTCATTTTCAATGATATTTCCTTTACCTTACAAACTAGCTTTCATCTGTTTCTAACACCAATTTTTTTTACATGACAGTTTCATCTAAAGTGTGTGAGTACAACCGCGATTGTAATGATTATTATTGTGATGATCCTAGCGGCATTCGAAGATGCATCAAATATCAATGTTGTTGCATATACAGGTAAGAGTTATGTTGAAAAATAATTTGATGATATTTGTAAACATAATATGTTGGCACTTTTATTATGTGTGTCTCACTTCCATTTATATAACTCTTTACTATTTCAATCTCTTTGACAGGATCTAAAGAAGGATAATTATGAACTTGTCTATGGTACTCCGAACAAAATTATTGGTTAAGTTTGCCAATCTATTGATTCTTTTCTTACTCATTTCACACACCATATAGATTGACAGATTATCTTTAAATGTTCATCGATGGAGCTGAATATCATACGATCCATGGTGATCCCAAAATCAGTTTCTCAATTATCATACCCAATAAATATAACTAACTCCTTTTACACCCAACAAATCCTACTTTTTCCCTTCATCCCCCAAACTCAACTTGTATCCTATGTTTTATCCAATGTGATGCAATTAAATTGACATGAAATAAGATATAAAATAGCACTAACTTGCTGTTAAAAAGTTCACACAAACCTTTATAATATAATGTTTTTGACAAATTTACTATTGGTTTTTTCCAAATATACATTTGTTCTAATATATGGTATTATGGGAGGCTAACAAAAAAAAACATGAGTAATTTATATTGTTTATAAGATCTGTAGTAAATTTTACGGTTAATATAAATGGATTGTTGTTTCTTATATGCAATAACATAGTTATTTAGTATTTAATATTGAATATATTTGTTTTAATATTTGCATTTTAAAAAGAACGATTGTGTTGTTTTTGATGTTCTATTAAGTTAAAAACGTCTCATAATAATTATGAAGTAAAGAAAGATGGCATTTAATAGAGTTTTATGTAAAATGCTATCAAGATAGAGTTGCTTTTAAAAAAAAAAATGTTTATTAAATAATCTTTTAGGAGAAAAGATGCATAAATTTATATGAATTCTAATATATAAAGTTATACAGAATAGAAGGTAAACAGATAATAAATTGCTCGCTACTCTTTTTTAGATGAAAAATCAACCCTTTTAAAAATTATATTTATAGACCTAGGAGATACAACATTTTTATTGATAAGTCATTGGACCATTTGTAAAAGATCAATTATTTCTGGTGCTAGAAAATCAAACATATCAAAAGCAAATGGTTTAAATGCATGTTGATTGTAGGATACGTTTTCTCATGTTTAACCACTTACTTAAAGCAACTTTAAGAGTTTCCTATCCTAGAGTAACACCTCCAATCCCCAGTTCCACCAGTGGAAAAACTCCAGTCAAATCCACACAATAATATTTCCTTACTACCCACCCATACACTAGAACATCTGTTGGTCTAAGTGTCGATCTCCCCTCAAATGGATCAGTCAAGAAATACACATGTGCCTCTTTCTTCACAGATACTATGGCCCACCGAAATATATCAAACATGACATACCTAACAAGGTCATGTCAGTATTTGAAACATGGAAGCTCCGTATAATAAATCGTGTGTTTCCCAAATATATCCAAACACACTTTACAATAAATAGGGCAAACCTCATCAATAGAAAAATAAAGGAATCATAAGGTGGTATTAGGATAGTACGGTACTACACCAGTGACATATGTTGACCTAACCCATTAATAGGAATAGGAAGGAGAAAGTCCTTAGCATGTACGGTTTGCATCCATGTCCTTAACAGTTTTACTAAAACGTGCACTCGCCAAAACATGTTGTGCTTTAGGAGGGACGATGTCCTTGTTAATAAAACTGCTAAGGTTAAAATATGGAATTGCAAATCTAAGACCATCCAAATCTCTTCCAAAATATGAGTACATACTATATACCCCATTGTCTCTCAATATATGATCCTATAACACCCAATATTAGGTCATAGAAGCCACAAAAGAGTATGAGGCATCCTCTACTGCCGAGTACAAACACAATCCCCCAACTCTAATGAGTAAAGAAGGCACCCCCTATTGAAGGTCCCCGAGAAAGGACCTCCACCAACTATGATGTCTTCAATCTCCTTTCGCAACTCTTTATCAAACCAAATAGTTGCTTCCTCCATATGATTAGGTTGACACGTTCTTAAGCTAAAAAATTTGACGATACCCATGCATGATCGAAGTAGAAGAAACAAACTCTTGAGATCCCTTAGTTGTGATAGAAGATGCATTAGCTCAATAGCCTCAAAAGCTCTTCATAGACAGACCTTTAATAAAGTCGTCATCTCGACTAGTAGCCTCTCCATGCAACTTCATCCCTAACACCAGCATCCCAATATTCGACAGGAACAAATCCTCACGAAGTTTACTACCATCAGATGAAGGCCAAAAGATCTCAGTCTTACTAATATTCAATTCAAGACCTAATATTAGATATGTCTCATGAACGATGTTAATGGCTTTAGCCACCTCATGCGAATGCCCTATAATAGTTCCATAATCAAGATACCAAGCATGAAGAATAAGATTACAATTGTCTCTAACCTGATGAAGAATGGGTGTAACACAAGAGCAAAAAAGAGAGACCTTAATGGGTCACATTGTTCACTCTAGTGGCTAACATGATATGTCCATATCCAAGATACAACCTCACTGTTTAGCCATAAAGAAACTTAACCTACAAAAAAAAATATATGAGCATTTCACCCTCACCCCACGCCTAATTAAAAAATTGTTGTAGTAGCGCCTAATTAAACTATAATAACACTTTTCTGATCACTACAACAATTTTAGCCTACGGCCACGCTAAATTTTTCCACAACTCAAAAATTGTGGCCACATACAAGCTTTGGCTAGGGTTTTCAAATCATAGACATATTTTTTAAAACATTGAATCCGGAGTGTGGAAATATGGCCTTTTCTTCAATTGCCACGGTTACAAAATCACACTTATATTTAAGCCACGGTTAACAAACTGTAGATATTTTAAGCCACAAAGAAAAGCCGCAACATATAATTTTCACTTAAAACTATGGCCCAAGTCCAAAAAAATATACCCCGCCAGAATTTCTCTCTTTTTTTTTTAGATTTCCTCTCGTTAATTATTTTATTTTCTAACTTTTTTTAGATAACAAAAAGGAAAAAATTGAAAAAGTAAATACAAATAAAAATAAGGATGCATCTAACCTAGATTTTATGCGATCCTCTTCCTCGTGTCTCCTCTGTTTCTCGTGTCTCCTCCTGTTTCTCATTCTCCTAATGTTTTTGTATGATCCTCTTCTCTGCTTCTCCTCTTCTCTTGTTCTCCTCTTCTCCCGTTCCTCGTCTCTTCTGTCATTTCTTTCGTGATTTTTTGTACAAGGATGCATTTAGTTCATTTGCATTGATATAATATAGATTTTGTTTTGCAGTTTTAATTCCTTTGTTGAGTTACCAACATAAGCTTCCCCTTATCAATTATAGTTGGAGTTACCTGTGCTAATACCGATAGTAGAGTTTCATTTTTAATTTTGTTATGGTTTCATTTTTACCCGTATTGTTATAATTGTTGTGTTTGTTAAGTTTAGATTTTGTTATGGTGATTTGAAACTGAGTGGATTGAGGTGAGTAACTAGGGTTGAAGGTATTGACAATGAGAGTGGCACTGAGTTTTTTTAGGGTGAGTAACTAGGGTTGAATCTGATATGGAATTGAGGTTGAGAAAGTATGTTAGTAACTGATTCAAGTTAACTGCTATGTTATGTTTGTGTTAGTGATGTTAACTGTTAGTTAGTTCAATTATTCTTGTTAATTTTTCTGTTAAACTATATCAGTATTTTCCGTTAATTTGTTAGATTGGTAGTTTTGTTAATTGTCTGTTAGTATTGTTAATGTTAAATTGATTTTCTATTTGGATAGGGTGGAATGCTGGTTGTTAGATATGTATTTATGTTTATGTGCATGTGTGGACATGATTTGATGCATCTTTGCTGATGTGAACTGATGTTTGTGTTATAACTGATGTTTAAGTTGAGAACTAATTGTATTTATATTGGTTAGAACTAATGTTTATGTGTTAGTGATTTGATTTGATGAACTGATGTGCTACTACTATCAATGTGAATTGTTATATGGTTTCTACTGTGGCTGCTGTTCATACTACTACTCAGTAGTTTTTTTACCTAATGTTTGTATAAAACATTATGTTATTTCTTTTATATTGGGGGAAAATACGAATTGTTGACCCCAAAATATTGTTTTAAACTGGTGCTTGGAGCATGTTAGCTACACAATTTGTAAACAACTGTTTCTAAACCTTATTATTTATGAAAACCAGAGTTGCTCTTCTTCATCTATAATGGTGTGTGATTATATGTTGAGAGTTGATGAATAGGATTAATTTGTGATCTTCTAATGGAAATGTTTTTTTTAATCTTCCTTGGTTTATTCATAATAATTTTTTAAAACACATATATAACAATAAAATGCTATAGACAATTTTGAAACCTTGTAACAAACAAGAACTAATATTTTCTACCAATATTTATTAGCTACTAAAGGAAATTAAAAAAACTACTCCCATATGAGAGGTGCTTGATAGTATCAACTATAGTTCAACTAAATATGAGAATCAAAGACGTCAACCTGATTTACCATGTATTGCTTGTGAATAAATTAATGTATAATTACTTGTATGATATGTAGTGATGTAGTAGATTTTACATTGTGATGTATGTATGTAAGTGAACATGTTTTGGTTCTGTTTTGCAACATGTTGTTATGACTGTGCATTGTTATATTTATTAATGTGTGTGATGGTTATTGTGATCGGTGGAAATAGAACTGGCTGTTTTGGAATGCTGGTTCGCGTTTGCGTTTTCGCAAAATGTCGCGGTAAGCAAGAGTCGCCACCGTCTTTTATTTTCTCCAACAAGGAAAGGACAAAAGCACAGCAAAATTCCTTTTCGAGATGTTTCTCGGGTTCGGGAGGTAGATTATAGAAAGGGAAGGTGTTAGCACCCTTTCTATCCGTGGTTATCCACGGGCTCTCAGGTACTTGCTCACTATGTTTTCAAAAAGTTTTGCTTTTCTTGTGTTTGTGGGTTTTGAAAAAGTTTTGTTTGAAAACTTCGATTTAACTCTTGTATCTGTCCTCAAGAGTGTATGAAGTGTTTGTTTGAAAACTTTGTTTGAAAAATGTGTAAGTGCGAAAAGTTGTTTTTGTTTTGAAAGAGCGAGTACCTGAGAACCTCTACCTACTCAAAAGAAATTAAGTTGTATAAATGTCCTTTAGACAATACTATCCCACTATTGAGAAGTAGGTAGCACCGTCGTTGGAGTTTTCGGGTCAATTCGA